ACGAGCGCACACGAACCGCTCGAGCGCCGCCACCAAGATCAGAGGGATGGGAACCGCTTCCCTCGTCTCTTTCCCGCGATCGCCATAGACCTTCTTCTGCAAGGCCATGATCCGGGGATCGAGGAGGTCGGGCAACGTCAAGCCGATCCGCTTGCAGATCCATTTGACCGCCCCACGTACCGAAGGTATCACGGTGGGGCCGCAACCTCGGTCGGAGAGATCTAAGAGGTACTTGACGAGCACGTCGGTAGTCAGCGGGATCACCGCTAGGTTCTGCGACCTCGCCCAAGTCTCAATCCTCTCCCAGTGACGAACGCACTGCTGGATAGTGCGGAAACCGCCACTCTCGAAGACGATCAACCTCAATGCATTCATCTCATCTTGGGACAGGGGTGATCCCGGCTTCGGGTTGCCCGCGATCGCGGCGTGCTCGCCGCACCTCTCCACGATCGCTTTCAGCCTCATGCCCCACTTTCGGGCCTCGCCGAGCTCACGGGTTTTGAGCGATGCCTGCGGATCTTCAGGCCTCGGCTCGATCGCCCGCGGCCTCTTGGCGAGCGGCAATGGCATAGGAGGCTCCTTGCCAGTCCCTTTCGACTTCAGTGGCGATCGCCCGAAGACGACCGGAGCTTCAGCCAAGCCGAATCCCAGATCAGTGGCCAGATCAGCCCAGCCCGCTGCTGCCGTGCTACGAACCAGCACAAACAACAGCTCGATCGACGGAACCCACCTGCCGAGCTCCTCCTCGTTCTTCCGCCGATCTGGCGTGTGGAGTTCCTCGAGGGCAGGGACAAGATCAATGAATGCTTGCACACACTCAGCGATCGTCCCGTCCGAAACAGCCGTGAGCTTCTCGAACTGAGCCATCCGAAGATCCACCAACCATTGGCAAAATTCATCCCCGAACAGGGGGAGGGATAGGATCTTCCGAACGGACCTATCCATGCTGGGCCTGAACAGCTGCACGAACGATCGCACGTGCCTGCTAATGGTAACCGAGCGCCGTGCCTGAGACAGGTATTGATCAATCTCACTTCCGGCAGAACATGCGCTGGGATCTAGCGCGCCGAGAGGATCGCTCGGCATGTTTGTTCCGCGGAAGAGCCCGGCTGATCCGCCAGGAGGCTTCGGTCGCGCGGCGCACCACTCTCTTAGGAGCGTGCACAAAAACCGACCATCACCTAGGCTTCGATCGACAACTAGTCTGTATTGTCCATCGTGTAGGGCCCCGTTGACGATCTGGCTGGCGGGTAGGCCGGGGCGAACGCCTTCGGCACCGTGGTCGTAGAGGAGGGGGAAGCCGTGATCTCTTGGCCCGTCTCCTCCACCCTGACCGTGCTGATCCGCTCGTACTCCGCCTGCTCACGGTGCTGGAGCACGTCGGTGAAAACCTGAGGCGTGATCGCAGCCGACGTGCGCGAGAATCGCATGTCGGCCCTCATGCGATCGCGGGCATCGGTGACGACGTCCTCGGCGATCTGCTCCTGGCCGAGCTGGCCCTCCCCCGGCACCGGAACAGTGCTCACCCTCTGGTCGAACACCTGCTGAGCCGAGGTGGGCATGTTGGTGAGCGCCGAAGTGACCGAGGAGCCCAGCTGCTGAACCGCCTGCCGAGCCGCCTCTTCCATGAGAGCCGGGGGGCCGTTCCGAGCTCGAACGGCGTTGTTCTCATCGTGCGACCGGTGGGCGAGCGCCTCCTGCCGGACGAACTCCAGTGGGCAGACCCTGAGCTTAGATCTAGCCCGTACGTGGAAGTTCCCATGATCCATCGGGAACTCGTCTGTCGCAGTTCCCACTTGCACCTGTTCGTGGGCGAACGCACTGTGGTACCAGGGGGCGATCACCGCAGACAGCTGCGCGAACTGCTGGATGTGGTCTGGACCTTCCACGCGAGCACGCTGGGTCCGACAGGCCTGGATCGTGCTGATCAGAGCGGGGCCCGAGATGTGGCTGACTGTGAGCCACGTGCCAGGCACCGAAGTCCTCCCGCACTTGAGATCGATCCGGTTGTTGGCGTCCCGGAACCGAAACTCAACACGATCGGCGTCGTTCCCATAGCCTTCTCGGGACGATCGTTCTGTCACCCTGAGCTCACAGGTGCTCATGGCATGGTCGCTCGCCATCACTGCTCCTCTCGGGCCGATCGTGTAGACTCGGGCTCCAACCCCGAACGAGGTCACGGAGACCTTCCATCCAACGAAGACCGAGATGACGATCGAGGGTCGGAACCATCCTTCGTTGGCTGACCGGATCAACACCTCGTCGCAGAACTGCTGCTGGACAGAAAGATCCGAGTCCGAGCGGTAGCCCCTGAAGACCCAATGGAACAGGACCTCGTTTCCATTGAAGACCTTCACATCCACATAGGTGGCCGAGGTGTCGAACATCACCGGCCAAGTGAAGGGCTGGAAAGCCGGGTGCGATAGCGCCCGACTCGCGTAGGAGTCCCACTGAGCACATGGTCCCCCTGTTTTCGAAGACATCGAAAAGAGCAGAACGGCCTTGATGCCATCGAGCGTATAGTTCGCGAACAGCGAACAGTGGTAGCCCGAGTTCGGGGGCATGACCGAGTCCCGCTCCGTCAGCACATTGATCGAGCTGGCGGCATTCGAGATGATCTCCTCGGCCAGCCAGTTCTGGAACGGGGAGATCACCCGGTCATCGCGGTTGTCGATGACGAGGAGCGAGTTCTGGGTCTCGTCCTCTTCCTCGACCACGACCTGGCGAACGAACTCAGGCCGCTGAACAGCGAAGGGGTTGTGGGCAGCAGGAGCCCCGCGGTCACGACGTCCACGACGATCGTCGCGACCCCAGCCTCCAGAGCCCCAATCGCCGGATGCGGCAGCTGGAGCCGCGGGATTCTCGGGAGCCTCTGCCTCGCCTGGAACGTAGTGTCCCCAGTTGCCCGGATTCTCAGGCTGACCAAGCCGGCGGGGCAGCCCGAACTGTGGGGCCATCGGAGCCGCCATCTGCCGACCTTGATGAAAGCCAGCGGGAGGGAACGACATGGCTGCGATCGAGCGTGCCTATTCACTTCCACCTCCCACGCCGATTTTTCGGTATGGCCCGATCGGCTTGAGCCAAAATGGCCACGGATAAAATAGATCAAGTCTGTTCCAACGATCGCGAAACTGATCTCCTAATTCCTACCCACCAGACCGATAATTAGGAGACATATAACCAAGAAACCTGGATCACAGGAGGGCCTCTTACCTAGTAGTAGTAGTAGTAGTAGTAGTAGTAGTAGTAGTAGTAGTAGTAGTAGTAGTAGTAGTAGTAGTAGTGGTAGTAGTAGTAGTCGTAGTAGTAGTAGTAGTAGCAGAGGCAGCAGCAGTAGCAGTAGCAGTAGCAGTAGCAGTAGCAGTAGCAGTAGCAGTAGCAGTAGCAGTAGCAGTAGCAGTAGCAGTAGCAGTAGCAGTTCGCAGTTAGCAGTTAGCAGTAGCAGTTAGCAGCTAGTAGCTAGTAGCTAGTAGCTAGTAGCTAGTAGTTAGTAGTTAGTAGTTAGTGGTTAGTAGTTAGTAGTTAGCAGTTAGCAGTTAGCAGTTAGAAGTTAGCAGTTAGCAGTTAGCAGTTAGTAGTTAGTAGTTAGTAGCTAGTAGCTAGTAGTTAGTAGTTAGTAGTTAGTAGCAGTAGTAGTAGTGGTAGTAGTCGTAGTCGTAGTCGTAGTCGTAGTCGTAGTCGTAGTCGTAGGTGTAGTAGTAGTACTAGTAAGTAGTAGTAGTAGTAGTAGTAGTAGTAGTAGTAGTAGTAGCAGTAGTAGTCGTCGTCGTCGTAAGTAGTAGTAGTAGTAGTAGTAGTAGTAGTAGTAGTAGTAGTAGTAGTAGTAGCAGTAGTAGTAGTAGTAGCAGTAGTAGTAGTAGTCGTCGTAGTAGTAGTCGTCGTAGTAGTAGTAGTAGTAGCAGTAGTAGTAGCAGTAGTAGTAGTAGTAGTAGTAGTAGTAGTAACAGTCGTCGTCGTCGCAGTTGTAGTCGTAGCCGTAGCCGTAGGCATAGTAGTAGTAGTAGTAGTAGTAGTAGTAGTAGTAGTAGTAGTAGTAGTAGTAGTAGTAGTAACAGTAGTAGTAGTAGTAGTAGTAGTAGTAGTAGTAGTAGTAGTAGTAGTAGTAGTAGTAGTAGTAGTAGTAGGCGGAGTAGGAGTAGGAGTATAGGAGTAGGAGCAGGAGCAGGAGCTGATGATTACTGTGATTCTTTCTGAAATTACTAGCACAGTAGTGCCCCAAACAGTGGAAACAGACACCGTTTCTGGATCCTTTAATTGATTTGGGGGGGCCAGGGAGTACATGGCCAAAAAAGAAGGCATATCGGAATACTGAAGCTGGACATCATCATGTGGGAGGCTCCCCAACTGATCAAAGACAAACCATTTGACGATCCACTGCTTCGAAGGACCGCGACATAGTTGAAGAGGAGAAGGGCCGCGACGTAGTTGAGGAGGAAACCATTTCGGCGTCGTGTATGTTGGAAGGCCACAGGTGAGGGAAAATGGAGACCATGTCAGTGGAAATAGCAACCATTATTATGGCGTATTTTGAAGGGTTGCGGGAATTGCGTTTGAGGGGGGAGGAGAGAGCTAGTAATATTCTGCAGCGGCAAGATTGATTGAAATGGTAGCCATTCATGTAGGAATCCGTAGCTTCGTCCGCCCGCTATAATGGAAATCGAAATCATTTGGTATCCGTTTGGATTGTGCATCTGTATACTCCCCGCGGCCAACATACTAACAATGGAATCTAAAATGCCGGTCCGCAATGCCAAGGCAGATTCAGAGACCTTTTGATCATCTTTTACCTTCTGGCCCCGTTAGTTGCCTGACCTTCCTTCGATGTTTTGGACTGTGCGATTCTGGCTAAGGCTGCAATTTCGGGTATGCTTCGCTTTCCGGCCCGCGTGCGCAGGCGAACGGTTGCGGAATCGGTGCAGCTCTCTCTTGGTCACGTCACTCAACACAAACAAAAGAATGGTTCCAACGTGCACTGCAGTGATTAGGTTGGCCAGCTGGGCCTTGAGGAGCCTCTACCTGCAACTCTTGGAAAGCGCTTCGTGGCTGGAATCGAACCCGCACTGGTGGCATTTGCAGAGAACTCGCTGCAACAAACAAACATGACCTCAGATGCAATCAAGCAATGGCCCGCGGCCCCTTGCGTATCGGCCACCGATACGAACGACATCTCACCATGCTTGCAGTGTTGGTTCTGAGTCCGAGATGCTGATAGGCCTGCACAGTGTCACAGGGGCTGCTGAACATCCGTGCGGTTTTCGGAAGGTCAGGTCAACAGCCAAGCTCCGGTTTTTTTACTCTTATATTTTGCAATGCCATCCAAATGTCTGCTTGGGCCATGCCGTTCCGCTCTACGAGGACTGTAGCTCTACACGACTTAGAAGCCAAGATAAGAGGCTTCCCCAGTCCCCTGCAGCCACAAAACGAGCCTGAGCATTCACGTCGGAAGCCGGCACTGCTGTTGGAATAAAGAGTCCCTGGATCTGCCAGAGTGGGAAGGAATCGAAAAGCTCACTTGCTTCATTTGCCAGGGTGAAGCTCCAGGTAGGGTTCAAGGATGGTGGCACCGGTGGATTCGTCACTCGAATTCGGAAGGCGTACTTGGTGTTGGCGGCGAGCAAGGCTGGCGCCAGGGTCGCTTCTGCAACCTCCCCCCTGCCGATGCACTGCACGGTTGACCCGGCAGGAAGTGCATGAAAGCCAGTGGGAAATGTCTGCCCACTTCCAAAAACAGCATCTTCGGACACAAAGAAACCTGGCATGGGGAGTCTTGGTGTCTGCAGGGTCCGCTTGCTGCAACAACCCCGCCTTCTGAACAGTCATCAGAGAAGACGAAGCCGTCTGGAGCTGTCAGTTGGATGTTTGCTGTGCTCTGGACTAGTTGCACTTTGAGGGCGAAGAAGAAGATCAGGTTGTTCACCTGACAGACATTTTAAAACGAAGGAAGTAAGGAAGCGCAAAAGGAAGTGCAAAAGAGCTGCAAGCGTCCCATATTAGCCTATGTGGACTTAAAGCTCCTGTCAAGCAGCAGCATCAGGTTGATCATTTCGATCACTTGCGACTCTCCTCGCTTGCGAACACATGGCCCATGCCATGCTATACGATGTGAAGCCCCTCTTGAATACTCTAGACATGGTGTTCCCCAATCATACAGTAGCAGTAGATCTGGAGCTTGGAAGAAGCTGTTTCGTACACTCACTCTCCCCTGTGCTCGGCATCTATTTGGCCATCATCTCGTGCTACTGGGGATTGGGGATGAGGGCGTAATCAGCAAAGAACTGCGATGTCGTCTGTCTGCCACATAGGATCTGCACGACCGATACCTCCTGCAATCCGGCAAGCGCCATCTTCCTAGGCTGATCAGAAAAGCAAAGAAGCACGGCTCGCTGTCTGCTCTCGATCCAGGCAGGCATCTCCAAAAGAGGAGGAGAAGCGACGACGAGACGTTGGTCTAGCTCGTGGAGGATGCTGGCAGAAGCATCCTGCCCGAGAAAGTCTGAAAAGGACGCAAGTCCATACACAGATTCAGCTGCGAAACTGGATATTCTGTTCGGTGCTGACTGGCTTCTGTTGCGTCTTGGCGGGATCGCCTCCACAGTCGTGAAGGACCAGCACTGCAGAGATCCACCTGAGTCCACAGCCAGGGCGAGACTTCACAATCTCCCCAGAATCCTCGAAAGTCGAGCAGGCGAGGCCATGACACTGCGAGCTCAACTCCTCAGTCTCGCAAACACTATGCTTTCCACGACACTCGCCGCAAACTTCTGCAGACCGAGCTGCAGTTCCGGTGCTGAGCGAAACCTTGGCTGCGCTCTGAAAAGTAGCCCTCGGATTTGGGATAGAATCACTGCGACTGCGGAGCCGGATTCTGCACCGGAAGCTCGAAGAGGTAGAGGCCGGCCAGGAGGCTGGAGGTGCCAGGCTGCAGCTGAATACGAGGAACACCGGAGAGACGGAAAAACGTGCACCCAATTCCTCCATCGCCTCGCAAGACGCAGCCCCGCACTGGCAGTGTCTCTGAAACCGCAAGCCCTTGGAAGCCAGTCGAGCCGAGTGTCCCATGCTTCGAAGAGCAAAGCGGTCAAAGGTCTCAGGAGGGACGTCGACCGGCTGGCACTGCTCCGAGAAAAAGAAGCCCTGAGCAAAGTCTGGTGTTGCGCAGCAGTTCCTAGTGCAGCAGATGGCAGATGGCATAACATGCCATTCAGCGTGTCGGCCTCTGGGCCTTGAATGAGCAAGGCTCCTCGTGGAGCTGGCACAGTTGTGACCAGTCGGACTCGAAAACGCACCACGCTCACTGCTGCCACGCGCTGAGTGCGAAAGGACACCTCGCAGGCATGTCGAACTCTCCTGCAGTGTCGCTTTGCTCGGGTGCCCCATGTAGCCTCACCATCCAAAAGCGCTCGAACTAGCGGAGCTGGCCGTACAGAGGCGGCGGGTCGAGTCAATGACACAAGCACATGGAGCTCGGCATCGAATCTCTCGACATGTTCACCTCAAAGCGGCAATCACATGTAAGGCAGCACTGCTCAGTTGTAGAATTTCATCAAGCCACATGACAAGTAGGAGCAGAGGGAACACGAAGCATCGGAGCTTGTAAATGTGATCTCGATCTCAGCCTCAGGGTTGAGGGGCAAGCTTCACGTAGCTTCTCCACCACGCGAGAATCAAGCGCCGACAAGCTGAAGTCCAAGACACACAGCCATGTCGAAGCAGACAGGCTTCGCGGCAGATTTCGCGAAGGCGCTGCAATGCACTCGCGTCAGCAAGCGACTCAGAGTACTCAAATGGCAACTCCGAAGATGTTACTTGGCAATGGAAGGCACATCCTGTTGTGCGGAGGAGTTCCCAGCTTGCAGCCATTGCTTCTTCATCATAACCCACTTCCAAAACGAAGGAATGGCTGGACTGAGTCGAGCTTCTTGACGGAACAGCCACAGGCGCCAAGAAACCGTACCTTGCGTGCTCCAGTTTTCTACGCCCATACACTGAATGATACTGAAGGTAGGGGATGTTGGTGTGAGAGAGAGTCTCCCCATGTCTGTCTGTCTCTGTCCGCCTGCCTGCCTGCCTGCCTGGTCGGCCGTCTGTCTGTCTGTCTGTCTGTTGTCTTTGTTTCTGGAGATACCACTTCCTGGCTGTAGGGGGCATCTGTGCAAGTTGTGGACAACGTGCTGACAAGCCGATGTCCTGCTCTTCTAGTCCCTGAACCCTAAGCCCAAACCCCAATCCCTCAACGTTAATTCCTCGAGGCCCTCAGCCCCATTATCTCCCAACCCACGAACGTGTCTGCAGAACGCGACTTAGCTGCGTTTCCACCGGATTGTAGAAGGCACTCGACCAAGTCAGAACATTGAGGTGTTGCTGAGGAAGTCCTCGGGGCAGCATTGTCACTATCGTCATCTACCGCCACTATCACGCTGCATCTGGTTGGCAATGAGAAACTGCGTCCTGCCGGCCAGTCCACAGTGGCACCCGGCACCTGAAGTGCCTCCTCAAGCGATGTAACAGAAGCATTTCCTGCGGATGAGATGAAGCTCGTGTCAGGGAAGTTGAAGATGAAACCAACGGGCACCGTCAATCTCAAGACGCCTCAGTGTCGACAAAGCCCAGCTGCAACAAGCTTGCACATCTCCTACCAAGCAATCACTCGCGACTGAGTTGCTGTTGAGAGGAATTCCGCCAAGGCGGAAGAGTAGGTGAAGCACTGCTTCCTTTCCGGTCAACTCGCGAGGCTTCAGGTCAGAGATGTGAACTTGCATTGAAGCTACTTCTCGGTAGTAGAGCTGGTAGGAGCCACCATTTGCAGAGGATATTGCGACACTGCCATCCATCCGCCCGGCAGCCGCTTCTGTAAAGAGTGACCAGTCGCCGTCTGCCGCGAAGCCGAGAATCGGCGGAACTACCCGGATCTGAAATCCGTACGCTTCACCAACAAAAAGGCGCTCTTCCAAACTCACCCGAGCCGCATCAAAGCCGTGGAAGGCCTCACTCTGCTGACTCTGCTGCCCGGCGCAGCTCAGAAACGGAAGGCGCCCTGTCACTTCTCCAGCCCTGCCTTTCGAATAATAGTGGCCGCCCTTGGGAAGGTCCGAGACATCGCAGGCGATACCGAAATCGAAACCAGGAGGAGCCTGGAGCACAACCGTGCCACCTGCAGGGAGCATCTGTGCGGTCCTCAAGAAAACTTCGAGAATGGTGCCAGCGAGGGAAGCATCACCTGGCTGCAACGAGAGCAGCGCGGGCTGATAGCTCTGCGGCTGCAGCGAGACATCTGTCAGACGGCCCAGCACGGCAATGGAGGCTGTGTAGTTCGCCCCAAACAGCTGCTGAGATACTAGGAACGCATCGGAAACGTTTTTGCTGCGTCGGGTGAAAGGCGAGGAGCCCATGGATTCGAGACCGAGATGCCATACGTTCATCGGATCATCGCCCGGAAGAGGGCTTGTGGGGTTCCTAACTCTGAGCCGAACCATAAAGGAGCTGCCCGCAAAAATAGCGAATCCGGCACGAAGGTTGAAGAAACAGCTCCGTGATCCGCTGCTCCAACCATCTTCCTGGAGACTGCCAAGTAGGCTTCCTGACAAGATCTCCAAACAGACCACAGCATGAAGAGGGAAGAGAAGTGCATAACCAAGATCCTTGATCGACGAGGGCCGTGAGCGCTTCTGGAACCTCTGCCGCAGAACATCTGTAGCCCATGGGAGTCTGAATTTCCAGCGTCGCGGCCTTGGCGGCACGACCACCCCTGGACCACCCTTCGCCCTAGAGGATCCGTAGACAAAGAGCGTAGAGCTGCAAGAGCTGCAAGCAAGCTTCGAAGTCGGTGAACTCGCTAAGCAGAGTCGCTCCCAAGCGGATCTTCACGTAGAGAACGTTGCCTTCCAGGAGCGGTGCAACACAACAATAAGACAATAACCTATCGCTATATCAACACGACAGATTAGAAGTGAGGCTTTTGCCAAGCGACTTTCTTGCGCTTGGAAAGGCCGTTCGTTTCCAGCCGTGCTGAGCAAACCAGCCACGGCGCTGGGGCTCCTGCTGGCATGCCGCGCTACCAAATCAGTCCGACAGCAAATCGCTGTTACTGCAAGCCTGGGCCAAGCCCAGTCAGCCCAGTCTCCTGTAGATGAAATCACCGGAAGAAGCACCTCAGCTTCGTGACGCGCAATACCAGCACGTGGATCCAGAAGATCAAGGCACTGAGCAATTCATAGCGTCATAGAGCTTAGGCACTGTAGGACGGAGCCACATCGCTGGGTAAACTGATCTGTATGCCGCAGCGTCCGGCGAACAGCCCTCCTGTAGGTGGCGCCAGGTTGGAAATCTCAAAGATGTTCTGGATGGTCCCATAAATGTCGGCCAGATCCTTACCAGCGAACTTTGCACACTTGTCTCTGCAACTGCATCAATGTGATAGGCATGGGATCTCAAGATGCAGATGCGGATCACTCGGCAGTGTCATCCTTACCTGGGAAACAGGATGTAAGTCAGGTAGATGATGACACGGACGAGTGCAACTCATGAAGCTCTCACCTGTGCGCCGGCCCTTGCATGCTTCCAGCACAAATTGAACTATGCAGAACTCTCCCTGCAGGCTAAATCCATCCGTGGCACGGCATTGGGCCGAGTCCACGTCGTGCTTACCGCGAAACTGCTGCAAGACATCTCCGCAAGGCCACAGAAGCCAGTGTGATCAATGCACTTGGCATCACACTCGCCCGTTCGGAGGTGCCATCCTGAAATTCTCAGAGCCGTTGCAGTCGCACAGAGCTCAACTTCAGTCAGCTGAGTATCCCATGAGGGGCCACAGGAAGAGTCTCAGATGACTGGAAGCTGAGATTGCTCGAAGTGCGCTGCTCGCTTGCGGTTGCAAGCGCAATGTAGCGAGCCCAGATCCCAAATCCAGAATTCCTCAGCAAGACACAATACCATGCTCGGGGGTCGTGTCTTTGCAGAGCCTGGATGAGCCCAGCGACCGTTTGCACCTCCAAGGATGGGACAGTTTTGCCTCAGGTCCGGAAGGCGATTAGACATGCAAGATGCGCCACAATCCACAATGATCATCTTGAACGCCATGCGGCAAGTCTGGTTCACCAGCAGCTGCTGCTGGCTCCTGCAATTTTGTTGCGACTCCAGCTGATGTGTCGTTGCCACTTGTTAGACCAGGACGTGTTGAATTTTGACGCATTAACCGCATCGACCTCCGGCCTGAGGGCTGGTCTGTAGACGGCAGCGGCCACGCTCGGCCACATGGAAAGGTTTGTTCTCCAGATTGTTCATAACCTGGATGTGGCCGGCACAACAATGACGAGTCAGACCCAGTCAGATACCGACATGTTACAAGGAAACTGGCTTTTCTTGGGGTGCTTCCTGTCAAGAGCAGCGTTTTGAGATGCAAAGATACTTGCAACTGCAAACGGCCTATACGGGCCAGACGAGGCGCAAGTACTCGAAGCACATCATCCCTGGGATCGAGGCAGCGGGCTGTGACAGCCCCGAGGCTGCTGACTTGGTGCTACAAGATTTCGGCAAGCAACCCTTTCTGCGCCAATTGCCCGATGACACCGTTCAAGACCATGTGGTACCGCTGCTGCGGCTTCAACATGACACCAGGGCGAAATACCAGGCCGACAGCCCATGAATCTGCAGTCCTGGGATGGAGACCACAGTACAAGCATGCGGCAGGAGCTATCAAACTCCAACACCTGCCAAGCGTGAAGGCTAGCAGGGCAATTTGATGAGAGCTTCGCACGCTGCAAGTAACACCCATGAGGCAGTGGAAAGCCATCCACGTCGTCTGATGCGATCTCCTTCAGCCAGCAAATCATGTCCAGTCGAACTGCCTGGCTGAAACCAGCCTTGAAAAGAAAGCCGCACCATGTCTGCTTCGACCCCTCGGCGGAATTCTCTCCAGCAAGCTCTTCCATGACGTCGGTATCGTCTGTTGCTCTTCCTGTCAAAGATCGCCATCGCTGCTACAGTCTGCTCGATATCTGCAAGACTTGCTGCAGGGAGTCGAAGACCGAGCAGTGATGCAGTCGGGAACTCCAGGCCTCAGGTTGCGAAACTCTCCCTTTTCAAGGGCATGTGCGTCAGGTGCACGACCAGCCATGGCTAGCGTGCGCAGGCAACAAAACCAAACTGCAGGGCGAATCGCGCATTTGGCTCACTTCGCCCTCCTGCCCGCCAAGGTCGGTTGTGCGGTATGTGATCAAGACCTGTTGCGAGTGTGTGAGACATGAGTGCATTGTCGTGCGCACGAAGCAAGGACTGGAAATGGTAGTAGGGTCAGGACCGGGGCAGCTTGATGTCTCCCGGTGGCCGTCAGGAAAATCTGACAATCTGCTTCAGCTGGCTCCTCCACGGTGAGACTGCCAGCCATCACAGCTGGGCCATTCCAAGGCCTCCAGCAGACCTGAAGAGGCCCCGACCAGCCTTCTGCCCAGCAAGACCCCGAGCGCCGAGGCCCGCACAGGCAGTTGACTTGCTGCATGTGTAGCTCGAAGCTCCCTGGCTGTTTCCGCCTGGCTATGCCGAGTCCACTGTCCGGCACCGAAGATCCTGAGCCGCCGAGCGCTGGTGCACAAGCACATGCAACAATGCCCACTCGGCTGTAGGTCATCCGAGGGTCTCGAATACAGGCAACCGTGAAGAAGGCCATACAGCATCCAGCACGAAAGTCTGCTCGTCCGGAGTGGACCTGGCTGTCCTGCACTAGATGTGAAGCGCGTTCTCAGCTCGCTGTACCCACCGGGATCTAGTTATAGTGATACAGTCGGAGCCTTCCCACAAGATAGTGCGAATCACCGGGGAAGCCACTGAAGTCATGATCACCGGCTCCACTTGACGATCCCGCAGCAGCCAGGACACCTGCCCATCTTGCGCAAAGCAGTAGGGCGTGGCAGAGATGCCAGAGGAACACCGAAACAAGGACTAAAGAATGCCTGCAGCCCGTGCTGGCCATGACTGAATCGAGCTAGAACTCGTAGCGGCTGTGCAGCTAAACAAACGACTGCTTACTCGTACGGGGCCGTCGCGTTTCTCCACTCCGCGCCTCGGAGTTCTTCTTCGTCTTCGACAGTGCACGCCCCATTGGCAAGGCTTGCCGTGGAGCAGGCTGCCTGTTCGCCCAGGCTCAAAACATCCCCGGTCACCAGCCCGGGTGCAGAGCTGAAGGACACGAAAGTCCCTGTTTCGCGAACCTGAGTGTGAAAAGCTCGAAAATCCCATAGACACCTCAACTAACGGCTCAGGCATGCACCTCGATCGCCTCAACAAAAACGTCTGGGCAAAGACCAAGCTCTTCCGCTGCTCCACCGCAAGGAACGCTGCTGTCGCTCAGAACGTGGAGAAGTATACCGGAACTGTCACTAGAGTTGCTTTCAAGACCCCCAGCTTCGCTGCAGTTCTTCGGGCAACTTCGCAAAACGGAGTCTTCCAGTCTCAGCACATCTTCCGTGCAAGACGCCCCTGGCTGCAGGATCAAGATCTGATCCGTGTTTACAAGACCCCATCCCAGAAGCTGCAGACTGAATACCACATCTGAGCTTACGGTCCAGTGTTGATATGGTGTAAGGTCCTGCAAAACTTTAGGACCTCGTACTGTCAAGTGCGTCAACAACCTCCAGAACGCGAGTGGGCAACCTCCTTCCTCGACTCCACAGTAGCAAACTGCCACGCGGCCTGGGCGCAGAAACATCATGCCTTCACTGTCGCCACCTCCGAATGCCAAGTGGGAAGTGTTCGCCATGTCTGGCTGGCCTCGGAATCTTTCCTGAATCCCGGCCTCGTTCAGCTCAGACGAGATGTTGTTGGAGATTGCTAGCAGGAAGAATTCTGCTGAGGACTGGTTCAAAAACGAAGCATACGGTGTGCGACCGCATTCTTCATCAAGCACCTGATGCCCATCGTCTCCAAGAAGCTTCAAGTAGGCTTGTCGTGTCCCTGCTGGGGGAATGGACTCCGGAGGTGGCTGAAAAGACGCTGAAGTGTCTATCGACCTCTGCAGGCGCACTGCGCCGACTCTTCGTGGAATTTGCAGCAGGAGGCTAGCACCAAGCAAGCGCAACGGAAGAATGGACATCTCTCCAACTTTGAAATAGCTCGGGACGGCGAGCCTACTCCTGCAGTCGTACAAGCAAAAACAAATATCCAAATAGAATGCAGAGTGGAACGCTCTTTGGCCATGCAAAGGTCGATCACCCAGAAACTTGAAAGGACCCTCTGGTCCTTCTCCGAAGCGTTTTAGATCCTGGCGAATCCCCCCGGAGACCGTGCAATGGGATGGATCCAAGCAATTGGGTGGCTGCGTCTGCAAGGGCGATTGCAAAGCTGTCCGGCAGCCCGTGCTGGGATCCCAGCTGGCACGGAAATTATCAGGCGATGGGGATGTGAGCTTCACGCGGGATCCAGTCAGGTCCGGAACCGACTTACACACATCGGCAGGGCAAAGCACATGTATCTGAATCGGATAGAACGCAACTACTGACGAGAATGACCCGGCACATGCAGCCCCCTCATGTTCCGCATCTCCGGAGTGTAAGCAAAGAAATGCAGCGAAAAAGTGCACGACGCCGACTTCTTGAACGAAGAACTCTGGCTCCAAACAGTTTCCAACAATAGGACACAAGCACACGGCAATTGTGTAGGCTTTGAAGGATTCATTCGCCAAATCGCCACGTGCACGAGGAAGGGATGCAAGTGCCTGGCTGTTGAGTGGGACGGAGTCGTCTCCAAGGTCACAACGATCTGCATTCAAGCACAGAAAAGCTTCTGTCTGAGACCGGCTCTGACAACTGAAATTTTCCACAGCCGAGACAGTACCATCGGAGCCGTGGGTGATCTGCCATGGATCGGACCACGATATTCGCATCTGCTCAACACTTCCCAGTACTCCCTGCTCCCCCTGCTCCGAAGAGTGCTCTGCTGTTTGATCAAAAGTCACCTGACAAGCACCTGCCGGACTGTAGGAAGCTTGGAGGATGTGACAGTACTGAGAACGCTCAGATAGACATGGCGAGCTGCCACAAGCGAAGTTGTATGCACCCCGCACTCGTATCGTGATGGGAACAAGGTCGACACGACCACCCAAACCAAACATCGCATCCTCAGTAAAGCAAAGAGAATAGTCACCGCCCTCCTTGAAAATCAAGGGCATATAAATGGATGAAGGATGCAAGTTACCACTTTGCACTGTGGCATCCACACCTCCATCTGCCCATTTGCCCGGCAGCAGTCGAAGGTACGTGCCCGAATGAACAGATGATGTCTCCTCAACACAAGCCCCGGCTCTTGCCGATCGCATGGTGAGCTGGCCTCTAGTAACGAGTAACTGGGGCTGGATCCCCCAGTCATAATTTACATCTGGAGATTGGAGCTGCAGTATCAGAACCGGCAGCCCCGCAGGAATCAAAACCTCTCTGCAGCTCAAACTATCGCACGTCTGGTTCTCGGCCATACCGGGAGCAAATTCCACCAGCAGGCTGACACGAGATGGTAGAATGGGAGGTTGAGAGGAACTGGTGGTAGTAGTTGACAGCCGAGTCGTGGAAGTGATGCTTGTTGTGCTGGTGACGGATCGCGTAGAGCTGGAGCTGGTGATGCTTACAGTGCGGGAGGTGCTGGTTGATGTGAGAGTCTCAGTAAGTGTCTGTGCTTGTGCACCAATTTTCCAGATTGCCTTCTCCCCGTTGCTGACAAGCTCGCACCAGGGAATGTCTAGGGGCAAGATCCAGAGGCCAGCCAGCCACTTCACGGTGTGACCGACTTTGAAGCATCCCATCCTCAGACGAGATCCCCACCTTCCGGTCCGT